GGGGGACAAGATGTGCACTAGCCTATAAATAGGCACCCGACTGTCGACGTGTGCCAGCATTTAATTCGAGCGGTTGCTGCTAAGCATGCACATGAATGCACACACACACACACACACACACACACACACACACACACACAGCATACAGTGCGCGCCTGGCCCGCTCGCGACCCTTTCACGACGAGCTATATATATGTTTTTGCGTGTTTGTTTACGGGCGTCGCGCTGCGCACCGAGACGCGAGCCTGGGAGGGCGCTTCCTGAAATCTTGGCGCCCGGCGCAGTGGCGATGCAGTGTGGTGCAGGTCTCTCGGCCCTCTCCCACGAGGAGGGGGCGCCTTGGCACGAGCAGCCGCGCTGCCCTACCTCATTGCGGAAGTTTTCGTGCCATTTGTGCGTCAACACGCATTAACCCGGCCCGACCCAATCCCCAGGGAACAGAAAAATGTCAAATGGACCTTTTATCCAAACGATGTGGCAACGCCTAGGCAACGCTAAGAGTTTCCGGAGACAAACTCTTAATTGTGATCAAAATTTAAAATTCTGCCAAGGCAGTTGATTTTTGTGACTACTCTGCATTAACTACCGTGGCCAAAATTTCAAATATTGATCGCAGCGAAGAGGTTGTCGCTGGACAAAAATAGCGATATTTAGGCGACTGTACGAATAAACGCTTTGGATAAAACGTCTATTGATGTCAAAAATAGCATCATAGGAATCGTTTTGACGTCATCATTTTGACGAGATTTCAAGCTCATTTTGATATCAAAGGGAGCTCAACCTGACACCCTATGTCAAATGACATCACTGTGACGTTTTTCTGTTCTCTCGGATTCTGTTCTAAAGACAAGACGTGCTCATTTTAGCAGAGGATACTTCCAGTATCACTGCTTGTACAACAGCTAAATAGGTAGCGTTCACGGTAGTCACCAATGACCACATTGTGGTCATCAGCCAGCATGGCCCACTATTGTCACCAGCCAACATGACCCAGTATTGTCACCAGCAAGACCACATTATGGTCATGCCCTAAATAAAATATTAGTTCTTATTAGGAGGAGGGGGGTAAAATGGGTAGCCTTGACGATGGTCACCAATGACCACATTGTGGTCATCAGCCAGCATGGCCTAGTATTGTCACCAGCCAACAAAACCCAGTATTGTCACCAGCATGACCACATTGTGGTCATGCCCTAAATAAAATAATTGTTCTTATGAGGAGGAGCGGGGTGAGATTGATAGCGTTGACGGAAGTCACCAATGACCACATTGTGGTCACCACCCAGCATGACCCAGTATTGTTCTAAATTCCAGTATTCTAAAGTCCTGCAAGTATTTTTCACATGTTAAAAACAGAAACTTAAATTCATTAAAAGCTAAGGCCGTATCATAGGCTTGCAACGTTAGCGCAAGTTAATTTTTTTTTCTAATTTTTTTTTTTTTTAGTCGATTTTAAGGCCTCCTAGAAGGGGTGTTGGAGAAAATTGTAAAATGGTCACTAGATTAGTGTTCTCTGAAAATCATAATTTTTTAGCTTTAGAAAGGATTTATGACTGCTTGTTCATAAGAGCGAGCTAATAACTGGCAATAAGGAATACATGATATTTTCAATGCTGTATGACTATAATAAAGACTAACCCTAGGGGTTTAATGACTGGTGTAAGTTACCTGATGTATAAAAAGCAGGATGTAGCAGCGTCCTCATTGAGACTGAATCCGATAACTTAATTTAAATGAACTTGACATTTAAACTCAATGAATTTTAATAATTAAAAATACACAGGTAAACAACAACTGCTTTTGGAAAATATGCATTA